TTGGATGCGGTGGCTCTAGTTGGATCTACCAACCAACAAATCAACCTATTCGCCTAATCAAAGAATATTATAGAGAAAAAAAGAATACTAATATATATGTATAATATATAATACTAGCATATGTATATGATGTATATGTATATGATATACATGAGATATATGTGTATGTATGTATATGTGTATGTGTATGTGTATGTGTATGTGTATGTGTATGTGTATGTGTATGTATATGTATATGATCAATGAAGTTCCTAGTGGGAAACAAGTGTCTCATTAGGTTCAATTGCATAGAATTTAACTAGAGAACATTATAAAAGCCCTAGTGAGGGTCTGGAGAGATGCTCAATGGTTAGAAGCTGTACTGCTCTTGCAGAGGACTCAAGTTGAGTGGGGTTTGCAGGGTAACTCAAAATTGTCTGTCACTCCAGCTCCAGGAAATCCAAACCCTGGTCTCTGAGCACATCTGCATTCATGGGCACATACCCCAAAACACAGACACATATACACATATAATTAAAATAAATCTATAAAAAGCAGGGAAAGAAACAGTTCTGGGTCGTGTTGAAGAATTCCAATGAAAGTAGAGCCTCCAGTGAGAGGGATGGCAGAGAGAGTGTGGTCTGAGGAGGAGCTGACAGGACCTCACGCACTCTAAGGGCAAGCAGGAACAGCTGGATCCTCTGTGAGTCTGGTTTCGGGGTAGACGGGATCCAATAACAGCACCGGACTGGGTATACCGTGTGCTTATGAAAACAAAAGTACAAAGGAAATATATTCTTTTCAATTACTAATTTTTTGTAGATATTGAATTGTAGATATAGATATTCATGAGAGGATTTCAGTCTCAAAGAGAAAATATTCTGAAGGGAGGCTACAATGTGACCAACTGGGCCTGGAATGCAATAAATAATGTGTCTGAATCAGCTTAGATTTGTGAGGAAAATGATCTCTCTTCTACAAGGGCAGCTACGTAGATAGCTGTTATGTGTGTGTTATGTCCTGAGGACATACACACAGACAGCAGCGACATAGCTAGTTTTTATGAGGCCCAGCACACAGTGGTTATGTGCACTACTGATTGTCATAAGAACGTACTATGCTTTTAGAACTCACTATGCACTAGGCTTCCCTGCTTACAACAAGAGCAAGGCAGTCGGTTTCTTTATTTATACTGGTAAATGAGAAGAAAGAGGAAGTTGCATAACTTGCTGAAGGCTAAACAGATAGGGAGCAGATGTACTAGAGAAGATACCAGTGGCTCAAGGCTCGTTCTGTGGTTTTCTTGTTTGTTTTGTTTCATTTTGTTTTGTTTTGTTTTATTTTGTGTGTGTGTGTGGGGGGATCTTGATTTTTTTTTTCAAGATCGGCAGTTTGGACTTGACCATTTGATCCTAAACGTTGCTGTTACTGGGGTTGTAACCCACCATTGTCCCCACTGGGCCCATTTTCTAGGTGAACACATTTAGTGACTAATACTAATAATGAAAATATCATAGATTGAGAAAAACAAAATATACTGATACTTGTGTGATTTGAGTCTAATTCTTTTATGAATGAATTGGTTGGTCCTAAGACTATTTACTTCAGTCCTAAGAATACGTGTTCTGACATTAGGTTCCTATAAGCAGTTTTAGTATCATTCTTTTCCCCTAGGAAGTTTTGAACAAAGTACTAAAGAAATGCTCTGTTGGGAGAAGCAGGATGTTAACTTGTGGAAATTATTCTCCGAGATGAGTTTGAGATCCTACAATCAGACTCTGAGTTGTTATCATAACTAAATTTTCATAACACCCTAATAGGATGTGCAGAAGATGTAGCTGATAGCAAGTACTTATGGGATGGGTGCACAGAACAGTGCTGTTTTCAGTGTTTGCCTTGGAGGGTTGGTCCTCAGGAGGAAGGAGCACAGGAGTAGAATTTCAGGGCAAGCTCAGCAGCACTGATGGGAGTGGAAGTTTGGCTAAGACCACGGTGAACAATCCAAGGCTATGCAAGAGTGAGGGTGTGTACACTACAAGTGATTCTGTTTAGAGACTCAGAAAGCCTGCTCTAGTAGGTTTCAGCTGGTTCCGATGAGAAGTCACACAAGTTAAAGATAGACCTTCTTACTAAGGAACAATAGGCTGCCTTCAGTTAGCAAGAAAAAAAAATGAAAGAAAGAAAGAAAGGGAAAGAAAAAAGGCAGCCCTTAGGGTGGATAGGAAGTTTTAATCGTGTTAAAGAACTCAATTACTCAGGAAGACTGAGTAAGCCTCTGGCTTTATTATAGTACTTCTCTTCAGTGGGAACTTAAAACCAGAGGGTCGTAGAGCTGGGAGCAAATAAAGTCACATTCAGAGACCACTCAGGATGTTTTCCACAGAATATGACAAGCTTAGAAAGAGAAGAGTTAGATATAGACATTCTTCCACAACTTTTGAAGCAAATAGTGTTCTCATTTGGACTGCATGATCTGATACCATTATTCACAGACTATTCAAATACAAGGGATCATCTTGACAGATGAACTCACTAACTTTCAAACTGGTAATCTCTTTCTTTCACTCATATTTTTAATAAAAATTGCATTTCCTCATAAGCACAACACTTTCTCTAGAAATTTATAAAGTAAAATTTATTTAGGAATATATCACAGACATAGAAATGTTTTAATGTAGACAAGAACGAATTCAACATGAGTTCATCAAGTATGTGATATGGGACATTCATGTTCCTGAGGCTGGGCAAGGTGATATATTTCAGCTGGTTCAGTTCTTCAGCAAGAGCTTATGAAGTGCCATGAACTGAGTCTATCAACTTCTTTCCCCTGTCTGTTTTTAATTTACATTGTGTGTGTGTGAGTGTGTGAAGTCAAAAGAAAAATTCTGTCCTTCCACCATGTGGGTTCAGAAGACTGACCTCAGGCCATCAGGCTTGGTGGCAGTGCCTTTACTGGCTGAGATCACTTGCTGACCCCTTTTATTCATTTACTGCAGCAAGATCTCTTTTTGCAATCCCCAGACTGGTCTGGAACTTGCTATGTAATCTAGGCTTTCATTGAATTTACAGCTGTCCTCCTGTATCAGCTTTTCAACTAATTATGGAATTGTACCATCACACCTATCCACCTATCCATCCAGTATACATACATATATTGAGATAGGGTTTTGCTAAGTAGCCTGGGACTGCACTGACTCTGTGAACCTCTAGCCTATGCCTTTCAACTTCTGGCATACACCACCATGCAGTCTATCAACTTTGAAAGATTTGCCTCCTTAATATTAAACACAAATATTAGAAAGTGAGGCAGTCAATTTTATGTTTCTTTCTGTTGCAGAGGAGAAGCATGTGAAAGGTAACAGGAAACAGGTGATGCACTCTGCTTATGCTGTTCTGAATCCTGAGTTATGACGGCATTTTTGAAATATCCGAGAAATGACACAGTGAAGCACTCCTTCATGTCCACGTGACACCATTTAAGTGGAAGGGGAAGGAGTTGGCGCTTAGCTACTCCCTCTTCTCAGACAAGTGTATCCCTTCCCTTCTTTCTCCCCCCACCAGCCAACAGTTTACAACTGAATTGTTTCCCTTGGGAGAATGAAAGAATTTGCTGTTATTCTGGAATAAGACGACAATATTGCTGTTATACACTTAGTTTAAATCACAGCTAGTCTAGGGAATGACAAAAATTGTCACAACCCCAGACAAAATAGGGCCTAAGTTGCTTTGTTGTTAAGATGTAGATGTACACATTTGACCATTTAGTTCTTGTTTAATTAGACAGCCCTGTGTGAACACATTCTTAATGGCTTACTCTAAACTCACTTGATGCCAGTAGGTGTTAATCTGTATGACCAGAGCCCATTCATCACAGAATTTTATTATTTCTTCATAGAAACTTGAATCCACCTTAATCATTTCTTCCTATTCTGAAGGGCTCTCACTATTATTCGAGTGAATAAATCAGACACCAACTAAACATGATAGGTAACTTCTGCTCTCAATGTTAAAGAGCTAAGATCTTGGTGTGAAAACTTCCTAGCTGTCAGACAAGATCCCGGTAAGAAAACATGAACATCCCCTATTCACACATGAAGATTGACAAGATGGCTCTCACCCCCAAACTTCCAATACAAGTTATATTCCAGAACCCATACAGTAGAAAGAGAAAACCTACTCCCATAAATTGTTCTCTGACTGCCATAGTCATGCCATGGTATGTGTGTACACTTCCTTCCCCCAAACAAATATATAAATAAATATGAGTAAGTAAAAACTCATACGCCACAAGCCCTAAACTCACTAAGGAACTTGAAGTCATACTTTCTATTGGTTCGACACAACTTGCTCTTAAACAGCACATGTTTATGAACTAAACGATGTTACATGTCCGTAAATGAAACGAGATGCTTCAAGTAGGCGGTGCACATTCTAACTGGTTATACTTTTCTTTTTGTCTTTATTTTCTTTAGGTTGAACACAGAAGACAATATTGAGAAAGGCCACAAGATTTTAAAGCACACACTTGTACCAATTCCAGTCTAATTTCTCTTGATTTCACGACATTCATCAGTTCTTTCCCATTTCCCCACAGTACTGTGGAATACTTACAAGCATCCCGGAATGTGAAAAGCAATATCATTTTTCGCCATCAATTTCATTGTTTCCTAACTATGTTCAATCATACACTCTCAATGTTATCCATCAAGAACATCTATTTCTGATTACTGAACAAGCTACTTGACGTTAAAGAGTAAACATTGATGAAGACCAACAATGAAATTTCAAAGACCACACCTCATTGCATTGGTTAACATCAATCATTTTCCCCCCTGAGAGAAAAAAAATGTAATTGAAACTAATTGTAACACTACAGGAAGGCCTTTGAAACAATTAAATCCTAACAGGCCATAGTTTTCTTTGAGAACAACTGATTTGCTAAGGATTTGCCAACATTTCTCACAGAAATTGATGAGATCAGCGCTTTTTACATATGACAGAGATTTCAATTTTAAGGTGTAATTTTATTCTAAAACAGGTAGGAGACAAAACACAACCCAAATGTCAACTCACCAGCCGTTTCCTTTTCTCCAATACATGGAGCAGCCTGAAAAAGAAGAGATGCACGAAATTACGACCTTATTAGAAAAAATAACTAATATCATTACAAATAATGCACCATAAACAAAGTAAAAACTAGATCTAGACAGTACAAAACAAATCAGCATTGTGTGTGGAGTAGTCTGTGAAGCCATTAGACCTGGGTGTGAGAGTCACATCCTCCAGGTTGCAATGATCTTCTGGTCTGAAGTTAGAATCAGACTATATTATGCTTAAGTGGCATTGGTGGTATATTAATCTTACAAACTCTCAGACTTTGGGTGGATTTTTTTTATCCTAATCTTTGGAAGCTCACAAAGCAAATTATTTGGTCAGTGTCTGCACATTTCAAGTCTTTGGCCTTTCTCTACTGTCTGTAAATCCTTGAATGAGGTTCCCTGACTCTTTTTCTTAATGGGTGGAAAATCCCATGTATTTCTTAGGGCTGCTGGGAGAACGGAATGTTGTGCCTTCCCTAAAGCATCCTAGGTGTGCTGAAAAGGAAGCATCCTTGCTTAGTTGCTTATTGCTACTCTGGGTGGTGATCCCATGGGTTAACTTATTGATATGAAAAATTTAAAAAATTCCATTCCATTATTGTTTTTATTATTTTAAGCATAAAGGCAAGAATGAATAAAATGAAATGTTGCAAAAGCTTACAGAGCAGTCTGCTAACACATTCTTTGTGGATACTCAGAATGAATTAAGGAGTCTGAATTTCTAGTTCTCAATTCTATTGTTCTTGTATAAAACAGCACAGAGGCATTAACATGTGTGTGTGTGTGTGTGTGTGTGTTTGTTGCATGTAGAAGAGTGTGTGGGTACATCCATATATGTGCATGCAAATTACAGAGGTTTTTACAGTCTAGACAACCCATCCATTGAGATTTCTATATGACAATCACTGAACACAGACTACTTAGTTCTTCTGTCTTTAGGAAATATGGAGGCCAGAAAGGCATTCTTACATTGGTGATTTGTTGTGAGTGTATGTGTGAATGTGAAAGAGAGAGACAAAGAAAGACAGACAGAGAGAGAGAGAGAGAGAGAGAGAGAGAGAGAGAGAGACAGAGAGACAGAGAGACAGAGACAGAGACAGAGACAGAGATGGAGACAGACAGACAGACAGACAGACAGACAGAGAGAAAGACAGGAAGAGACACAAACAGAGAAGAGCACACACAGAGAGAGGCTTCCCTGATGAAGGCTGAGAGATTCACTAATCTATGAGTGTAGGGATACATATTTACAAAGCAGTCTGCTGTATTTTTCACTTAGTGAAATAATAGTGGATTCTGTATGACGTCCTTAGGCAAGTTTTACAGGTTTAAATATGAATGCCCTCTGGTGAAGTGGGCCTTAAATATGATCAGATAACTGTTGGTCATTTTCATAACATTCATGCCATTATTATACCAATGAGGAGATTTTGACATTGACGATTGATGATCCCAAGAGAATGGCCTTATCTGACATCAGTGGGAGGGGAGGCCCTTGGTCCTGTGGAGGCTTGATGCTCCAGCATAGGGGATGCTAAAGCAGTGAAGTGGGAGTGGGTGAGTAGGAGCAGCACCCTCCTAGAGGCAAAAGGAAGGGAGGACAGGGGTGATGGGATGGGGGGAGCTGTGGAGGGGTAATCGGGAAGGGGGATATCATTTGAAATGTAAATGAATAAAATGATTACTTAGACAAAAAAGAATTCACTGTTGATGATTTCTCTTCTCCAGCATAATCAATGACATCCTCTGGTGCCATGAAAACCAGTCAATAGGGAGGGAGCTTTCAGATCGGTACCAGCTCGACTTCTCCCATGCTGTGTGACCAAAGTGCATAGTGTCTTCAGCAGAAGGGTTTTAACTTCAAGTTCGGTTAAGTGACTAAGCATATTGGCAATGGAAGGCTTTTGATTGTGGACAAGGTTGTGAATGATGGTGACAGGCAATTAAAGAATCTTCATGGAGTAAGGCCCACAGTATAATCAGCAACTCACACTTAGTGGTTAGTAACTGTTCTTTTAAAATTCCACCGCACAAATCCACCTAATCCTCAGAACTACTGTATGTTGTGCTATAGATTACAGTAGCTTGTTTACAGTCCCGTGGTCAACTATGGAAGCTAGTACATAGCCTTTGGCATGTTGGCCTTCACTTTACTTATCAGAGCATTCTGGTTGATAGAGAAAACATGTCTGTGACGTTCTGTGACAAGATATTGACTGAGATTATAAAACAGATGTGCATATGTTCATTTGGGACTGGTAGAAATTAAGCTATTGTCCTCTTATAGTTAAGACATTTAAGATAAATTAAAATCCTTACCCCAAACTATAAGCTGACTAGGAACACTTAGGTATTTCCCATATTTGATTATAAAGATGTATTGGTAGTATATTGAATTATTTCATAAAATTCTAATCGTTGAGCTGAGTTATAAGACAAAAATATTTTACCCTTCATATGCTCCATGTCTATATTTCGTGTAGCTGCTGCTGATTATTTTGGAATCATACCATGTTCCCCATGCTGCTTTAATTTACCAACTCACATTTCTATTAAATAATTGTAACAGTTATATTACAAAACAGGAGAAAAAGAGAGTAAAAGTTTAATGTGCCTGGACAATGATAATATCTCTGTCCAAGGTAGACCACATCATAACAACTGGATAGCTCTCCACTGGCTTATTTTTCAGGTCAAGTTGTCTCTCTAGAAAATGGTCTATGAGTAAATTGATCAAATTCATGGAGTTAGGCTTTGGAGGAATTTGAAAATGCTGACACTTAGTATTCAATTACTTCAAGTTTGATATTCACTCTTAATTACATGTCTTATGATATCTTGGGTACAAAAATCTAACAATTTTCTTCAGTGTGGAATTCTCAATGTAGTTGAAAAAGGAAAAAAACAGTTTCACATGATCGGTACTGAGTGCAATTGGTCAGCTCTATCACCTTACGGTGTTAAAAGAAATGGCCGAGTAGCAGATGATTAAAATTTCCCAGGTCCTCTGGGCTGGAGCAGACACAGAGTCAGTCTGCTCCTGTCCTGTGGAGAAACTGAATCCTGAGTCATCCAGGAGCCACTGCACTCAGAGCAGCTGGAGCCACTGCACTCAGAGCAGCTGGAGCCACTGCACTCAGAGCAGCTGAAACTGAATCCTGAGTCATCGAGGACCCACTGCACTCAGAGCAGAAGGATTTCCAGATCCAAGAGGTGGCCTGAGTCCCAGGAGTTATTCCACCCAGGAGATTAGGAGCATAAGACCACAGAGACCTCTGGACTCTGAGGAGCTCTGCAATAAGCAAGATAACTGGAAATACAGACTCCAGTTTTACACAGTGAGGGCAGGTACCACCAGAGTTAACCAGATGGCGAAAGGCAAGCGCAAGAACATAAGCAACGGAAACCAAAGTTTCTTGGCATCATCAGTGCCCAATTCTCCCAATATAGCAAGCCCTGAACACCCCATCACACCTGAAAAGCAGGATTCAGAATTAAAATCACTTCTCATGATGATGATAGAGGATTATAAGAAGGAATTAAGTAACTCCCTTAAAGAAATACAGGAGAGTACAAGTAAACAGAAGCCCTTAAAGAGGAATCACAGAAATCCCTTAAAGAAATGGAAGAAAACACAAAGAAGGAATTAAACAAAAACATTCAGGATCTGAAACTAGAAATAGAAACAATAAAGAAAGTTCAAAGGGAGACAACCATGGAGATAGAAAACCTAAGAAAGAGATCAGGAGTCACAGACGCAAGCATCACCAACCGAATACAAGAGATAGAAGAGAGAATCTCAAATGCAGAAGATACGGTGGAAAATATTGACACAGTTGTCAAAGAAAATGCAAAATGCAAAAAACTCCTAACTCAAAACATCCAGGAAATCCAGGACACAATGAGAAGACCAAACCTAAGGATAATAGGTATAGATGAGAATGAAGATTCCCAACTTAAAGGGCCAGTAAATATCTTCAACAAAATTATTGAGGAAAACTTCCCTAACCTAAAGAACAAGATGCCCATAAACATACAAGAAGCCTACAGAACACCAAATAGACTAGACCAGAAAAGAAATACCTCCCGTCACATAATAATCAAAACATCAGATGCACAAAACAAAGAAAAAATACTAAAAGCAGTAAGGGAAAAAGGTCAAGTAACATATAAAGGCAGACCTATAAGAATTACACCAGACTTCTCACCAGAGACTATAAAAGCCAGAAGAGCCTGGACTGACATCATACAGACACTAAGAGAACACAATTGCCAGCCCAGATTACTATACCCAGCAAAACTCTCAATCACTATAGATGGTGAAACCAAGATATTCCATGACAAAACCAAATTTGCACAATATCTTCCCACAAACCCAGCACTTCAAAGGATAATTGATGGAAAATGCCAACACAAGGAGGGAAACTACAACCTAGCAAAAGCAAGTAAGTAATCTTCCAACAACCCCCAAAAAAGATACAAACATAACTTTACCTCTAATAAAAAAAATAACAGGAAGCAACAATCATTTTTCCTTAATATCTCTTAACATCAATGGTCTCAATTCCCCAATAAAAAGACGCAGACTATCAGACTGGATACACAAACAAGACCCAGAATTTTGCTGCATACAAGAAACGCACCTCAGTGACAAAGACAGACACTACCTCAGAATAAAAGGGTGGAAAACAATTTTTCAAGCCAATGGTCCCAAGAAACAAGCTGGAGTAGCCATTCTAATATCAAATAAAATCGACTTTCATCCAAAATTAATCAAAAAAGATAAGGAAGGACACTTCATACTCATCAAAGGAAAAATCTACCAAGGTGAACTCTCAATTCTGAACATCTATGCCCCAAATGCAAGGGCACCTACATACATAAAAGAAACTTTACTAAAGCTCAAAACACACATTACACCTCACACAATAATAGTGGGGGATTTCAACACCCCACTGTCAGCAATGGACAGATCATGGAAACAGAAACTAAACAGAGACACTTTGAA